AGTTCTGGACTTCAAGGACCCCTGCTCTCCTAAATCTCAGGGATCCAATCAGAAAGAAGTCAGTTTATCTACACATTGATGGAGACAGTGTCCACAGTGAAGACAGCCTTTCTGCCACTAAGCATAAACATGTCGCATCACGTTCTGAAGCATTAGCAGGCAGATGCCTTCCAAATGCTTAGGTTTTCCCCGGGGACAGAGAGTCACTGCCAGCCTTGCCCAGGTGACTAAAACAGCCAACAAAATTGGAGTTTCCAGGACAAAAGGGGGGCGACCACCAAGCATGATCACTTTCACGTCCAGGTCTCCTGATTCATCCTCAACCACGTTCAGATCAAGGCTATGCCTTCAAAAGTTCAATTTATTACCACTATAGGGTATCACTCTTTGAGTACTGTTATGATTAAAACTAAAAATGAATTCATTAGGATGGCTAATTAAGAAAAAAAACAGACACTAACAAGTGTTGGTGAGGATGTGGAGAAACTGGAGCCCTCAGTCACTGTCAGTGGGAATGTAAAATGGTGCAGCCACCCTGGAAGACAGTCTGGCGGTTCCTCACAAAATTAAACTTAGAATCACCATATATGATCCTGCAATTCCACTTCTGGGTACAGACCCAAAAGAATTGAAAGCAGGGGCTCATACAGATATTTGGACACCCACGTTCACAGCAGCATTGCTCACAACAGCCAAAAGGTGGAGGCGACCCAAGTGCGCATCAATGGATGAATAACCAAAATGTGATCTGTCCATACAATGGAACATTAACCTTAAAATGGAGTGAGATGCTGACACCTGTCACAACATGGATGAACTAGGGGACATTATACTAAGTAAAAGAAGCCAGACACAAAAGGACAAATATATGATTCCACTTATAAAAGGTCCCTAGAGGAGTCAAATCCATAGGGACAGAAAGTAGATGGTGAAGGCCGGGGCTGGGGGAGGGGGTGGGGAGTCAGTGTTTCATGGGGACAGAGTTTCCATTTGGGAAGATGAGAAAGTTCTGGAGATGATGGTGGGGATGGTTGCACAACAATGTGAATGTGCTTAATGCCACTGAGCTGTGCACTTAAAGTTGGTTAATGGTTTAAAAATAAAATACTTAGGGGACTTCCCTGGTGGCACAGTGGTTTAAGACTCTGCGCTCCCAATGCAGGGGGTCCGGGTCCGATACCCGGTCAGGGAACTAGATCCCACATGCATGCCACAACTAAGAGTTTGCATGCCACAACTGAGGAGCCAGCGAGCCGCAACTAAGGAGCCTGCCTGCCACAACTAAGACCTGGTGCAACCAAATAAAAATAAATAAATATAGAAAAAAATACATAAAAATTAGAATAAATAAAGGGGGTATTACAGAGAGGGAGGTAAACCAGCCTCCCAAGATTCACACACAAAAAAATCACACTCCGGATTTTCATCTCAACACGGGCTGTCCCCCTTGTGACTCCGTGGGTTCTGGGGTCTGCTTTCACCTGCCAGTGAGCAGATCCCATCCGGAAGCAAACCACCTCTGTTTCTTCTGTTTTCTGTTTGTCTGTCTGGTTTTGCCTTCCCAGCTGGGCTTGGAGCCTTTCCACTCAGTCGGCATCCTTGGGTTTAACTCCGTCGAGTGGTTCCTTGCGGCTCTTGGCGCCATCTTCGCGGGGTAAGACCCCGGGCCCGGGTCCCTGTGGATGTTGGGTGGTGTTACCCCGGGACTGGCAGCCCCAGGCTGGTTCCCACGGAGATGTGAAGGGGGGTCGCAGAAGCAGCCGCAGGCGAGCCGGCGAGGTAGACACACACGCCCGTCCAACAGGGGACTAGTATTTCAAATACACAAGGGACTACTACAACTCAGGAATAAAAAGCACAAAAAGAGGGACTTCCCTGGCAGTCCAGTGGTTAGGGCTCCGCACTTCCACTGCAGGGGACACGGGTTCGATGCCTGTTCGGGGAACTAAGATCCCACATGCCGCTCAGTGCAGCAAAAAAAAAAAAAAAAAAAAAAAAAGA